CTGGGGATAAACCACGACACGTACATATACTTTAAGGAAACAGGTGTCAGTTCCATGCTTCACCCACTGTGGCAAGGTTTCCCTGGTAGGCATGCAAGAGAAAAAACACAGAGAGCATGCAAAAAGAAAAGTAATAAATGGTAATGCTACAAGAATGTTCACAAACTTCATTAGAACTACTGAAAATTACCAGGGCCGGAACAGAATCACTTGAAACAGACAATCTGCTTTTCTTGCAAAATAATGATGTAGACTGCTGGATCAAAATGAATGCATAGTTAACTGAGGCATGTACTCACCAGGATGTACTTGTAAAGACAAGGCAGATAGGAAGAAAACAGTAACAGAAATTGCAATACTGGACCTGATGATCACCAATGCAAGTGAGCTCATCAGTGACGTCAAGACTGGAGGCAGCCTGGGCTGCAGTGATCATGCATTGCTAGAGTTCACACTCCTGAGGGATATGGGAAAAGCAACAAGTATAGTCAGGATCCTAAATTTTAGGAAAGCAAACTTCTAGCTCTTCAAGGACTTAAAAGGATCCCCTGGGAAACGGTCCTCAGGGACAGGGGAACAGAACAGAGCTCGCATATCTTTAAGGACACCTTCTATAGAGCGCAAGAGCTCTCAGTCCCCAGGTGTAAGAAATCAGGCAAGGAAGGGAAGAGACCAGCATGGCTGAGTCAAGACCTGCTGGTCAAACTAAAGAGCAAGAGGGAACTGCACAGGCAGCGGAAGCAGGGACAGGTGTCCTGGGAAGAGTACAGTGATGCTGCCCGGTTGTGTAGGGATGGGGTCAGGAAGGCCAAGGCGCAGCTGGAGCTGAACTTGGCAAGGGATACAAAGAATAACAAGAAGGGCTTCTACAGGTATGTCAACCAGAAAAGGAAGGTTAAAGAATGTGTACCCCCTCCCCCGATGAACATGAATGGTGACCTAGTATCAACAGACGAGGAGAAGGCAGAGGTACAACTTTTTTGCCTCAGTCTTCACTGGCAACCTCTCTCCTCACCCCTCCCAAGTTGATGAACCACAAGATGGGGACTTAGGGGGATAAACCCCCTCCCACTGTAAGGGAAGATCAGGTTTGAGACCACCTGAGGAACCTGAATGTACAAAACTCTATGGGACCTGATGAGATGCATCCCAGAGTCCTGAGGGAATTGGCTGATGTAGTTGCCAAGCCACTCTCCATAACATTTGAAAAGTCATGGCAGTTGGGTGAAGTCTCTGGTGACTGGAAGAAGGGAAACATTGTGCCTATTTTTAAAAAAGGGAAGAAAGGAGGACCCTGGGAACTACTGACGTCAGCCTCACCTCTGTGCCTGGGAAGATCATGGACCAGATCCTCCTAGAAGCTATGCTCAAGCACATGGAGGACAGGGAGGTGATTCGAGACAGCCAGCACAGCTTCACCAAAAGTCCTGCCTGAGCAACCTAGTGGCTTTCTATGAAGGAGTGACTGTATCAGTAGACAAGGGAAAAGCAATGGCTGTCATCTATCTGGACTTCGGTAAAACTTTTGACATGGTGCCCCATAACATCCTTCTCTCTAAACTGGGGGGATGGATTTGATGGGTGGACTGTTCGGTGGATAAGGAATTGGCTGGATGGTCACATCCAGAGGGTCGTGGTCAACGGCTCGAGGTCCACAGGGAAACCGGTGACAAGTGGCATCCCTCAGGGGTCCATACTGGGACCAGTACTTTTTAATATCTTCATCAATGACCTAGACAGTGGGATCGAGTGCACCGTCAGCAAGTTTGCAGATGACACCATGCTGAGTGGTGTGGTTGACACATCTGAGGGATGGGATGCCATCCAGAGGGACCTGGACAAGCTGGAGA